CAAAAAGGCTAAAATGACCAAAGAAAAAGTGGGAAACAGTTAAACATGAGAGGTCAAAGGAGCTTACAAAGAAAAGCGTCTGGACTTCTTTAAGTTGCTTGAAGACGTTTCACCTTCATCCGAGAAGCTTCTTCAGTTCTCACCTTGGCTCAGGCGATTAGAGGATCATCAGGGGGTCCTTTTGTCCCTCTCTGGGGGGAAACTCCCACTGGGTTTATATCTGGGACTCTCCACCATTTGACCTTAGAACTGAAGAAGCTTCTCGGACTATGATCTCGGACTTCGACTACGATGACCTGGATGACTGAGAACTTTCACAAACACTTAAACATGAGAGGTTTTTGGACAAAGTTTGTGTTTTTTCCATTGTTTAAGCACTGCTTCCAGCCAAGAGTGATACCATATATGTCCTATAGCTGCAGAAAAGGCTAACATTGTTATCTTTTTACCAAAAAAAAACAGCTGAACATGAGAGGTTTTTGGACCAATTTTGTGTTCTCCTTTCTTTAAGCACCGTTTAAGCACCGGCACCGTTTCAAAAGTACCGGTTTGGTACTGGTATCGGATAAAACCTAAACGATACCCATCCCTACTCGAGATGAGTACTGTCAGTGTGCCTCAGGGTGGCTGTGGCTACAATGTAGCTGCCATCACCTGTGTGTGAATGGGTGGGTGACTGGGTGTGTAAAGCACTTTGGGGTCCTTAGGGACTAGTAAAGCGCTATACAAATACAGGCCATTTACAGGCCATGAGAGGGGCCTGTTGAAAAAGCCTGTCTGTCTCATGGTAACATACAGGAGTCATCACTCACTGTAAAGGTGACACAGAGTTCCCAAACTTCATGCATTACCACTGCATCAATCACCAACAGGCGTTACATGCAAAGGTGATCGGGCATGTCATGACTCCCGTCGTGAAGATCATAAACAGCATCCGCTCCAGAGCTAAACAGCACAGAGCATTCAAGGTGCTGTTGAAGGAGCTGTCAGCTGACTGTGGTGACCTGCTACTAAATCCTGTGGCTCAGCACGGGATGGATTTTGCTTTGTTTTTTGTCACTTTTGGGTGAAATCAGGGAGTTCATGCAATCCAAGGCGATGACACAACGCTGCTGGAGGACAGTGAGTGGATACTTGACCTTGCATTTTTGATGGACATTACTGGGAAATTGAACCATTTCAGCTGTAAGCTGCAAGGCAAAGGTAAGACTGTTGCTGACATGATAAGTGCTTTAAATGCATTTAAAGCCCAGATGAACATCTTCTCTGTGCATGTACAGAGAAATGCACTTTCCCTCTGTGCAGATGGTGCTGAAAGACAACGCTTCTGCATCTGAGACTTTTGACAAAGTTGCAGAAAAGTACTCTCAAGACCTTGATCATTCATTTCCAATCCATTCATGAACGTGGACACAGCATGCATTGCTGAGCAACTAAGTGCACTGTTCAGCTTTATGCTGGACAGGTGGAAATCGAAATTAGAACACAGCAAAATGACCTCCACCTCAAAGCCAAACTTTGGGTGCCTTGTTGACACAGAAAAGTACAGTGGTGTATGCACAGCATCTATGAAGGTTGCCAGCCTGTATGGTTCAACCTGTCTTTGTGAATCAGCCTTTTCTGACATAAACTTCATCAAGAACAAGCACAGAACACGCCTCTCTGATGCACATCTGCAAGACTGAGAGCTGCGGTGTCAAGTTATACCCCAGATTGCAACACACTGGTGAACAGCAGGAAATGCCAGGGTTCCCAGTGGCAACATGGCAGTGTCATGGCAAAGCTGAATTTAATTATTGAAAAACAAACGTGTTCATTGAATGTAACATTTGATTTTTTTTAGAAAATCTGCAGATTTTGTGACAAGTTCAGTAAAATCTGAAAGTTGATTTTTGTATGTTTCATAATTGATAATCTGTGCAGACATGGTGCAGTGCATGATTTGTTCAACATTGTTAGCGGCAAGTGAAAACGTTGCAGATTATTTGAAAATGTAAATACTTTAGAGATTTATAGAAAGAAAGTGTGTGTATGTATCTGTTTCCTACCTTCTTAAAGCATTGTTTGTAATTATTGTGAGAAATCATTAACAGAATCAGTGTCTTTACAGAGATGAATACCTTCAATTATTAATAATAACATATAATTTAAAGTAAACTGAGCAAATTTGTTATTTCAGAAGTGTAAAGTATCAAACTGGTAGCCCTTCGCATTAATCAGTACCCAAGAAGTAGCTCTCAGTTTCACAAAGGTTGGTGACCCCTGATTTACTTACCCCTGAGTCCAGTTTACTGTAGAAGACTTCTCAGGATGAAACAGACACCCAGGGTTGGAAGCACATGCCCTGTCTGCTTTCAGTATTGCTATTCCAACCCTATTCCCAAAGAGATACAGCCCAGTTTCTCTTTGACTGCAGCTGTTGATTAAAACTGTCAATCATTATGTCCTGTCTAAGTTTTACAGCATCAAGTCACTAATGAAAAACAAACTTGTGAGAAACATGTACCCTTGATCCAACACCAGCATTAAAACAAGTTCTCCAGTTGTTGTTTCAGTCTGAGCTGCCGGTCCTCTAACATGGGTATGCAGACTTATTCTAAATGCTCTGAACAACAGAATAATTCAACTCTGTCTTATTTCATCTGGGCCAAATTGTGTGTCCCCGAAGATGCGCGATTATAAAATATACAAAATAAGACAATAACAAAGTGTATTAGGCGAATATAAAGTGATATTTACATTTTTCTGCTAGGAGATTTAGCACATCATAAGCTACTTGTCAGTTATGACGGCCCTTAAAATAAACACTGGTGCTCAAACTAAAGACATTTCCAAGTGACACAACAGGCAGTGCACATGAAAATGGCTCTCAGCGTCAAGGTGCTGTATTACGCTTCAACAATTGTATGGGATATCATTACCATAAGTACACAAGACTAGGTGTAGAGGCCTTACCGAGGTATTTAATGGTGAATCCCCGAGGCGGATTAAGAGACCTCCGCATCCATCCCTCCCTCAGCACCTCCAGGTGGTCTTCCTTGCCTTGAATTAATAGCACATGCTCGTCAATCCATCCCAGGAAGAAAGTCTCGGACACGGCCTCTGTAATCCGCTGGTTCCATACATGATGCTGGGTATTTTCTGCTTTAAAATCGGCAAAAATCTCATAGCCGGTGTGGTGTCTCGGGAACTCGTCGCTTTCAGACACCCTGCCCCCTAACGCCTCCCCAGCCCCGACCCTGGATAGCACTATAGCCAAAGAATGGGGAGCTATCTGCAGGAAAGACTCCATTGTCGCATCGGCCTTCTAGCTCTCGGTCGAATACACTACAATCGTTTTATTCATCTCTAACAACGTCGGGCTGAACGGAAAACAAACAGTCCATGTTGGCTGGCAGTGCAGCTACGTTTTGCGGCAGCCGCATAGATTATAGTTGTATTTCATGAAGCTAGTCTGCTAGCTGCAGTTAGCTCTTTAACCTTACATGTACCCAATTTCTACATTTTAAGGTCCGTCTTCCTGTTCGGGCGGAATGTAGAGCCCCGAAACCGAACACGAAAATTAGTGTTGATTCATCTCGAGTGCTGTCTAGCAGGAGAGGACATGATTCATTCTCGATTTAAACCTCGTTGTTGCGCCTGAGATCTAGAAATATTGCTACCTAGCTGGATGCTAACATTTTAATCAATTCACCCCGGCAACAGATGCGGCGGCGCCCCTCTTCTTAGCAACAGACAGCAACGCAGTTTCGTGGGTCAGTTGGCTTTGATTTGCCAACCTTTACGATTAAGGGCCAGGCGTAATTTTCAGTTGTCAGATGATCGTGTCGAGTCTTGCGATACGCTTTAAACAATACGTAAGAATACAGCTGGATGCAGGACTGTCTCATCCAGGTACAGTGGTGACAGACGTCGCTACGGAGCTACGCTTTAATAAGTGTGAAAACATTCTTCCGGGTACATTTTCAACTTAAGACTCTCCGTGCCACATATATATGTGGGCTAACTATTCTAAATAATTACTATTACCTTGTTAACAAATTATTATACTTGAATAATACATATAAAAATGACTCGCATATAATTATACTATAGTAAATCTTTGTTCATGACTAGTTCACTTGAAATGAGCAGTTTTGAAACACACATTTTGTAGTAGTTCAACAGATCATTTTTATGAATTTTCTGAACGATTTGGGAGTGATTGTAGCCTCCCCGAAGTAACGAATCACAAATAACTGTGTGTGTTTTTTGTGTGTCTTGGCTGTGCATGGGTTATGTGCAATATGTGTGGAATATGATGAATTCTGAAGTGCTTAACAAGCTAATAACACACACGCACACAGACACACTAACTGCCATAAAACTTGCATAAAATGTTCTTGTCCTCAATTCTTCCAAGTTTGTACACACTCATTTTAGTACATGATTTGATAGCTTACACATCCCATCACTCAGTGCTGCTGCTCCAACACCTCAGGGCTGGATGTGCTGCAGCTGTCCCACAACAGACTGACCATTTAATTCAGGTATTTTGGAGTGGGGAAACACCCCTACCTAAAACATCTAAAGCAAGCTGTCCCAAGAACCAGAACTTTGAACTGCTGCATTGCCATTATTGCCTGAAGAAAACTGGCCCAACTACACGGTGTTGCCCTGAGACAACGAACCAAAATCTGTCTATAAACAACTCAAAATACTTCTTCAATGTTCTTAAACATGCACAGATTTTAAATATATGCTTATTTCAATTTAAACGTACATAAAATTGATATTAGTCTCAGCATTAGCTAGCACTCTGTCGTGCAGATTTGGCATCTGAGAGGATTGCTCCACCCCCGAGTCAAAGGTCAAACTCTGTGCTTCTCATCATTTTACTGAAAACTGAAGTGTGTTGTGTCACAAAATAAGTAAATGGTAAATGGCCTGTATTTATATAGCGCTTTATTAGTCCCTAAGGACCCCAAAGCGCTTTACA